AGAGGGACCCGGCAGCCGGCACACGGCAACCTGCCCCTCTGAGGTGCCGAATTTGGCTGGGGCAGGAGGAGCGGCGCCGCGGGGACTCCCCTTCCCCGCTCTTTTTCCTCCTGGCTGGTGTTAAATCTGCTCTGCCTCCTGTTTACAGCCCCGGAGCGGAGGGGGCAGCGGGTTTCGGGCCCCCTCCCTTATTACCCAGGGAAGGCAGGAGGGTTTTGCAATGTGGGGAGGATGACGGGGGGCCTCGCGCTCATCTCCTGCTTAGAAAAACCCCCACCTCGTACAGAAACCGTGTCCTTAACACCCCAGCTGTGCACCCAAGGGCTACCCCAGCCTGGCGCCGCATGTTTATGGCTTTTACTACCGGCCTGCGGAATTAACCACGATCAGGAGAACTTGGCCAGGTTTGGCTACGGCCGCGCTCCCGTCCAGCGCCCTTCAAGGAGGCGGTTCCCCAAATCCCGGAGACCCTTTGGGTCCAACCACCTGGCAAGAGCCGGGTCCCCTGGAAACCAGGGCGAGCAGAATCAGCCAGTGCCGCTGGGGACAGGCTTCCAGGGCCGCTAAAGCCAATTTTGAATGTTCTGGTCTGTTTTTTGTCATCCACCCCAAAAAAACCCCACTTGGGAAAAGCTTGGCTGGAGGGAGAGGCACCGACTCCGCTCCCAGGGAAGAAGGAACCACACCATTCCCAACCACATCCCAGGCGGAAAGAGAGGCGTCACCATCCGAGGACCCACAGCCGGTAATCCCGACGCCGGCATTTTGCAACCACGGGGAAGGCGCTCCGTCCGTCCGTCTGTCCCGACTGTTAAATGAGAACAGGCCTGACCTGACCCAGGGGGTATCGCCAAGGATCAGCAGCAAACAGCCCCGGTGTTTGAAGATCGCTGGCGTTACAGAGGCACTTATCACCGTAATAACCCATTAGCCAAACGAGCCCAACTCTGCAATCGCTCCTTATAAGGCCGGGAAAGCTGCAGGGAATTAGGGCTCTCCTAAGGAGACTCAGAGCTGAGTCACCCGGCAGGGCTCGGGCCGGAGCCGGGC